CTATCACAATTTCTAATTTGTCATCATCATCATCGTCTAGTGATTCCTCTGATAGTGTTTGTGATTCAGGTATTTTGATTCTTTCCTGATTCCTACCTTTCCTTGTTTCTAGGTATTATGGCATCTCCTCCATCAGATGTAGTAGGAGAGTTCATTTCTACTGAGTCGTGTTCTCCATCTCCTTCATCTTCTTTAATAACCCAATTTCCTTGGGTAACGCATAAAGTTTTAAGTACTGTATCGGAGATGGCTTTGGGTGACGTTGCCTCCCTCTCCATGAGGGATTTAGCGAATTGTGATATAACCCCCCTAGAAGAGATGAGCCCGTCTGTTTCAGTGGGAGGCCAGAAGAGCCGCATTTCTTTTTCTTTTTCCGAGATGTTGTGACTGAACTCGGCGTCTGTTTTCCTTTTACGAATTTTCAAATTCATCTTCTGAACCACCTTCAAATAGCTCCCGCCCAGCTTCATCCCAATGGATGGGGCTTTGTCAAAGCCTTTGAGCGTTTCTGCTCATACCTTTCTATTCCAGCTTCTGTCTGTGTATTCTTCTTCTTTTTTCAAGTATTAACTCCTCGGACCGGTCGTGAACCCGCCAGCCGAAAAGGGTGGGTTACCCTTCGAGGTTTACCCCACCGTAAACTTTTTCAAGTTTATACTGAGTCCATTAAGAATTTCAAGGACAAATTCTTCAAAGTTTCCGCCCATCCCGGCAAGAGTGTCTGGTTTGTTGACACTTCTCATGCCGAGTATGGTGAGGGAAAAGTCCCTTTGCATTGGTCTTCTGACCACTATCAGCTTCCCCCATCCAGCTACCGTTTTAAAGTTACCGATTTGGGTTCATCTGATATCGACAGTGCCATTGCCATTGGCACGTTTCTGCTGTCACATAAGCATGCTAGTGTTGCATCCCTTCTATTCAAGTCCAAAGATGAACTCGACGCTGAATTAAGTATGAACTATTTCTAGCAACTTGGCATTTGCATATTAGTCGTATTGCTTTAATATTAACTTGTTGTGTTTGTATTTCTAGTACCTTTGATGGATAACCAACAAAATGATTCTCCAAGCTGGTTGGCCGCATTAAACCAGGCCAAGGCTGGGACCGGTAAGAAGAGGAAAGCCCATGACTCCTCTCAAGGTGGTCCGGGTAAAGCCAAGGTTTCAGCTGCCGATTCTTCCACTGCAGCCACTTCAAAAGAAAAAGCCAAGAGCTCTGACATCCGAGCTTCCACTGGCCCCAGTCAAACTATGAAAGCCCTTCCTCTTCCTCCTGCGCCTGAATTCACCAAGCACATGGTATGGCAGGGCAAAACCAACAATACTCTCCGGGATGTGGTGTGCGCCCCCGAAGTCTTCTATAACTCATTCTTTTAACACCTGCCCAAGTAAGGGAGGTGGAAGATTTGGAGTTGTGCTGTTTGAAGATGGCCGGGTTGGCCAGGCCATTGCTTATTCTGAAGTAGAAATACCTGCGGACGTTAAGCGAGGCTTCCGCATATCGGGAGGAGAGAGCCAAGACATACGCGGAGCTGCTGAAAGTGAAGGAAGATTTTTCTGCTCTGAAAAAGGATCATGATGATACTATCACCAAACTGAGTCAGGTTACCGCCGACCATGCAAAGTGCCGAGATGAAAAGGCGGCTGAGATTGAAAAAATGCATGGCTTTCGGAGAAGTTATGAAAGATTGGAGGATAAGGTGAAGGAAGCTGAGCGTACCGCTCAGCTTTGCCAGAGTGAACTGGAGAAATCAATCACTGGGTCCTTCTACAATGCCTTGAATCAACTCCAAATACTTAATCCGAAAGTCCCCTTAAATCTGGTCGGTTTGAATGCCCGCGCCTATGTTAATAATGGCCAAATCATCACTCCTGCTGCCGACTCTCCTTCCCATATGTCCAATGTCCAAACCGAGAAAGGTGTTGTCGTCGAGGATGGCGAGGAGGCAGTTGACAAGCCGAAGAAGGAAGTTGACGTGGTTAATCAATCTGGCAAGGAGGTCCCAGCTTCTGAGGATCCTCCTACCATAGTGATTTCATGAAGGACCGGAATGCCGGTTGAATTCTGTAATTTGTTGGGGTCCTTTGGGCCCCTTTTTGTTTCCACTTGAATATTGCCGGTTTTATTCCGGTTTTACTTTGCTTTTGATATATTTGAATCTTTTTCGATATCCTCTTCACTATATAATGTTTGCCTTTCCTTATTCCGAATTTTACCATAGATGCATTTATCTAGGCATCGTATTGTCGGAATTCGGCATGTCGTTGTAGTATTGCTTTTGCTTTTTGGATGAGCCAACGCCTTTTTGCTTTGCCGAAGTGGTATGACTTAACCATTTTTGGCATATGCATAAGCCCCTTTACGAGGTTGTAGTTGCCGGGTTTCGTAACCCGGATAGCATTCTTTTTCATACCCGGATTTGCCCTAAGCTTTAGGAATTCCTAAGTTGCTCAGATTCAAATCCGATTTATTTAGATATATATCACCCTCACACCTGATGAGTGATATACCGAGTTTGCATTATTTTTCAATACTTATTAGGTGAAATCTTCATCCCAATTTATTTTTATGAACCCGTGCATCATACGAGTTTTTAATTCATGACCTGGTCGAGGTCAAAGCATTAGACGGATTCCGCTTTATGCCAATTCGATGACGCATGTTTGTTTAACTTACTCATTCTGGTAAGCTTGCATATGTGATGGACCTTGTCTTTTGACTTAGCCATTTAATTGAATTTGAATTTCATAACTCAATTTATCTAAGGTAAAAATAATAATGCCATCTGCCCCTTTTTGGTATCATGACCAAAATAGGGACATTTTGACTTGATTAGAGTCACTATGGAAAATTGTATTTGTACCTCGGATTTGATATTAATATATCAAAGATAGACAAGGATAAATCTTTTAAAAAGAAAAATTCCTCATTTATTGATATCAAATTACGAATTACATGAATTTGCCGGCATATTCGGCTTTAGTCAAATCCCTAGTAGAGGAAAGAACTTAAATCAAAATGTAATTTTGAAATATTGAAGCGGAGGAGTGCAAATTTAGCTGTAGTATGTCTTCAGCTTATCTGCATTCCAGGTCCGCTTAACTTCTTTGCCTTCGGCTGTCTCCAAGATGTAAGCTCCTTTTCTGAGTTTTTCTCTAACTCGGTAAGGTCCTTCCCAATTTGCAGCTAGCTTTCCATCTTTGGCATTCTTGTTGCCAATATCTGCTCTTCTGAGTACCGAGTCATTCTTTTCAAAAAATTTGGTCTCACTTTCTTATTATACTTTGCTGCGGTTTGTTGTTTGGCCATCATATTCCGGCAGTGAGTTGTGACCCTAACTTCATCCATAAGGTCTAGCTCTTCAGTAAGCATTCTACTGTTCTGTTGTTCACCTTGTTCAAGACTATTCAGTCTTCTTCAGGAGGGTTCTCCAATCTCTACCGGAATCATGGCTTCACAACGTTAGTCTGTATGGGGTTTCTCCAGTTGCAGTTTGGGTGCTGGTTCTGTAACCCCACAAGACAAAGCATAACTGGTGAACCCAGCTTTCTTTTGCATCAAACATTCATTTTTTGAGACCTTCCACAATCACTTTGTTGGCAGTTTCGGCTTGCCCATTCGATTGTGGGTGTTCCACAGATGCGAAACGATGTGTGACGTGTAGGTCTTTCATTAGCTGCTGAAATTTCTTATCAGCAAACTGCATTCCGTTATCAGTAACCACCTCGGCTGGGATTCTGAATCTCGAAACAATATTTCGTTCAAAGAACCTTTGCACTCTAGCCTAGGTGATTGTGGTGACTGGTTCTGCTTCTATCCACTTTGTGAAGTAATCCATAGCCACGATCAACCACTTGAGTTGCCCTTCAGCAGCTTTAAAAGGTCCTAGCAAATCCATTCCCCATTTGAAGAAGGGCCATGGGGCCGAGATGCATTTCAGTTCTTCAGGTGGTGAAAGGATTAACTTGGCATGCTTCTGACAGCTATCACATTTCTTGACATGTTCTATAGAATCTGCCCCCATTGTCGGCCAGTAATAACCAGCTCTGAGGGCCTTTCTGACAAGGCTTTGCCACTCATGTGATGGCTGTTTATTCCTTCATGGATCTCGGCGAGGACGTACTCTGCTCCGTCCGAGTTCAAGAATTTTAGCATGGGGTTGTGCAAACCCTTTCTGAATAGCTGGTCATTCACGATCGCATATTGTGTCGCATCTCGGACCAGCTTCCTAGCTTCCAGGTGATCCTCTGGCAGTATTCCATTCTCCAGATAATCGACCAGAGGTTTCCTCCAGTCGTTTGCGGAGGTTATCACCATCACGCAACTCGGCGTTGTTATACTTTGCTGAACCACGGTTCTGTGATTACTCGGATTTTTGGTACTGGCTAACTTCGAAGAGATGTCAGCTCGGCTATTCTCCCCTCGTGGGATGTGAGCAACCCGAACCTCATCAAAGTCGGCCATGATTTCCTGAACTCGATTCAGGTACTTCATCAGTAGAGGACCTTTGGCTTGGTACTTTCCTTCTATCTGTGAGGTTACCAGCTGTGACTCGCTAAAGATTTGCACTTTCCTAGCTCCGTGTTCTTTAGCCTGGATCAACCCAGCTATTAGAGCTTCGTATTCAGCTTGATTATTTGAGGTTGGGAATTTCAAGTTCAGAGAATGCTCAATGGTTACTCCTTCTGGGCTTTCTAATATGATTCCAGCCCCACTTCTTTTATTGTTGGAAGATCTGTCTACGTAGACCTTCCATGTATCGCCGGGTTCCTCATGTTCCGAGTTCAGTGGCTTCAATTCCATTATGAAGTCAGCTAATGCTTGTGCTTTGATTGCTTTCCGGCTTTCATATGTTATGTCATATTCACTGAGTTCTATTGCCCAGTTAGTCATTCTTCCTTCCAAGTCCGGCTTGTGCAACACCTGTCGAATAGGCTGGTTAGTCCTGACGATTATTTGATGGCCTTGGAAATACGGCCGCAACCTTCTAGTCGTGACCAGCAAAGCAAAAGCTACCTTCTCTAGCTTTTGATACCTGACCTCTGCACCTTGTAAAGTTCTACTGACAAAGTAAATTGGCTCCTGGCCTTCGTTAATTTCTTTGATCAGTACAACGCTTATTGCTTCCTCCTCTACTGCCAAATACAGAATTAGAACATCTCCTGGGTTTGGCTTTGAGAGGATTGGTGGAGTTGATAAACATTTCTTTATCTTCTCAAACGCGGCTTCACATGCCGGGTTCCATCCGTCAGTTGCTTCTTTCTTTAAAAGTTTAAAGAATGGGAGGGCATTTTCAGCCAATTTTGGAAGAAACCGGGTTAGCGCAGCTAATCGTCCGGTCAGCTGTTGGACCTCCTTTTTGCTTTGGGGTGCTTTCATGTCAAGCACAACCTTGCATTTATCCGGGTTTGCCTCAATTCCTCTGTGGGTTAGCATGAAACCCAGAAATTTTCCAGCTGCTACGTCGAACGCGCACTTTACCGGTTGAGGCGGATGCGATACTTCCTAAGCTTCTGAATCGTTTGCTCAAGATCCTAAACATGATTCATCATATCAAATGACTTCACAATCATATCATCTATGTATACTTCTACATTTTTTCCCAGCTGATCTTCGAAGACCATATTCATCATCCTCTAGTATATTGCCCCTAAGTTTTTAAGTCCAAATGGCATCACACTGTAGCAATAGTTGGCCTTTTCAGCAATAAAGGCCGTTTTTTCTTGATCCGCTGGGTACATTGGGATCTGGTTGTATCCCGAATAGGCATCTATGAAAGACAACAGACGAAGTCTAGCCGAGTTATCTACTAGCTGATCTATGTTAGGCATAGGATAAGCATCCTTTGGGCAAACTTTGTTTAAATCTGTGTAATCAGTACAGATTCTCCATTTCCCATTTGGTTTTTTCACCATCACCACATTGGCAAGCCATGTCGTGTACTGTATCTCCCGAATGAACCCGGAATCCAAGAGTTCTTTAACATGTTCTTGTAGGACTTGTTTCCTTTTTGGTCCCAGTTTTCTTTTCTTCTGGAAAACTGGCGTGGACCCCAGATAAGCTGCCAATTTGTGACAACAAAATGCGGGGTCGATGCCAGGGAGCTATGACGACTTCCATGCAAATACATCTGTGTTGCTTTTAAGAAAGTCAGCCAAAATTTGCTTAATCTGGGGGTCTATGGTCTTACCAATGCGGGTAAACTGGCCGGGATCTTTCCCGAGTGCCAGGTTCTCTAATTCCCCATCGGGTTCTGGTCTCGGCACTACTTCTTCTCTCATGTCAAGTTCGACCACATTGACGGGTTTCCTGGAGTGGTGCTGGATTGCATTCTTTCCCTGTTTGTCCCCTGCATGAATTCGGGGCGAACTTGTATGTCCATCCTCACTATCTTTGACAGTGTCGAAATAGCTTCCCCTGAACTCTTTTTGATCTCCGCAAACAGTAATTATTTCGCCTTTACTGCTTAGCATCTTTATTTTTTGGTGTTTCGTGGAAACCAGCATGTCCCACTGGTGTATAGTTGGCCTGCTCAGAATTATATTATACTCTGATGGAAAATCAACCATTATAAACCTTACCCGTTCCGACTTGAACGCGTCTTTGGTTCCCAGGGTCAACCTGAGATCTATATAGCCTTTGGGAGGTGTATGCTCTCCATTAAAGGCTACCAGCGTCGTTTTGCAAGGTTTGAGGTCCTCTTCATCCAGGTTCATCTTTTTAAAAGCGTCCCAAAGTATGATGTCGGCACAACTCCCTGCATCAACAAAAATCTTCTTATCCCAACAGTTTACCAAAGTTCCGGCTATAACGAGTCCGTCAACATGTCCAGGCAACACGCCATGCATGTCCTTCTTTGTAAAATACAGGAGAGGGGGATCCGGCTTGCTCGAATCCTCTTTGAATCTAGGGCGGTCTCGAATCGAAAGGACCTCCTTCAAGTATTTCCTTCTTGCGCTTATGGTATCTCCACCTCCTCCAAGGGCTCCACTGATTACATTACAACGAATTCTGCTTCTGGGAACTCATCAAAATTGGGATCATCTTTGCGATCTCGCTCATCTTTGTTCTTTTTTCCATGAACTGGGCTTTTACTTCTCCTTCTATTTCCTGGCTTCCTTTTGTTGCTTTTGGACCCTTGGGTTTTAATCACGTATTGTTGTAATCTACAATCTCTTACAAACTTCTCCACCGTATCCCGGAGATCCCAGCACTGATCAGTTGTGTGACCTGACCCATCATGAAAGGCACAGTATTTGAACTTATCTAAGCCTCCTCTATCAAATATGGGTCGGGGTCTCTCCACCTTCGTCATCTCTGTCATGGCTAGTTCTCTCCAAATTTGAGAACGCGATGCATTCAAAGGGGTATACTTGTCATACCTCCCAACGCGGTCCCTCATGTCCGAGATTCGTGGGCGTTGATCTTTCTTCTTATTGTCGATTCGTTCCTTTCCCTTTGGGGTCGGGCTCCTCCTTCTCGAGCTTCCCCTCTTGCCCTCATCAGACTGCGCATTTGCAATCTCCATTTGCTCTAGTTCGAGATATTTTTTCGAACGAGTTCTGAATTCCTCCAACGTCCTCACTGGGTCTTTATAGACTGACTTGGCTAGTCTGGATGCACCATCCAAACCCGCCACAATGAGGTGAACATGGACATTCTCTTGTAGCCCTGGGACCTGCAATGCAGCATCCTTGAACCGATTAAGATATTTCTGGAGGGTTTCTCTGGGTTGCTGTCGTATCTTTCCGAGAGCGAACTCGGACTTCGGATGCTTTTTGCTAGTTGCAAAGTTCAAGATGAACTTCTGTCCGAATTCTTCAAACGGCCCGATGGAATTAGCAGGAAGGGTTGAAAACCATGCCTGCGCTGCTCAAGTCAGTGTTATGGCAAATATCCGGGATATGAGAGGTTCGTCAATTCCTCGGATGTACATATCCGTGTCGAAAGCATCTATATAGACCTGCGGATCCTGGCTCCCATCGTACTTTGGCAGACGTGCCGAGTCAAAATCCTCCGGGAAGACAGCGTTTAGTATTTCACCAGTAAAAGGGCTATTGTTGTACTGCCCCCTGCTGTACTTCCTCCTATACCTGCCGGGTTCTACCCGACCTCGGATATCTTGAGCGGTTTGTGCAGGAAGGATTCTAACTCGGTCCTCCTGACCATCAACTTGCGCCTGATGGTTTTGAGCATTTTGGCCATTAACAGCCTGACGATTCGGGTTTGCAGCGTTCACAAGATTGGGCCTGTTATGATCTTCTGTATTGGGAACTCGGTTTGGGAGAACCATGTTCCGAGCTCCTTCACGGCCATTAACAAGTTGGCCGTCAGCTTCAGTTGCTCTTGGTCCAGTCAAGTGCGTTAAACGCTGCTCCAGATCTCGCATTCCTCTGTTATTCTCCTCCCGTATAGCCTTGAAATCCTGTTGCCGTTGCAAGTTATTACGGTTCTCCATCTCCGTTATTCGTTCCATGATTGCGGCGAACGCGTTGTTGGCCAACCGAGTATCCGGATCAGCCGATATAGCGATACGCGCAGCCAGATCTCCAGGATGCTGGGAAGGGTTGGTTCTTGTTGGAGTTATGTTCGCCCCATCCCCCTATCTCGACGCGCTGGAGTTGAAGTGGTATCTGAGACATCGTCTTCGACCTGGACGTGGTCGTAATCCACGTTATTTCCAATCTGGTTCGGAGGCTGGTTTACCTCTTCCAAGACTGGATCCAATGGTTGATTCCGATTCGGGGGTGGCTGCTGGCTACTGCTCCTCATTTGAATTGCCATTCCTTCTCAGATTTGGTGGGAACTTCAAATTCAAAGATGAAAGTCCCCACAGACGGCGCCAATGTTCTGTCCTTGAGACAGAGATGTCTAGCCCAATAGGCTAGTATGTTAATCTTGGATCTGGTGCCCTCTCCAAGGTATCTATGGATGAGATACCCTTGAGTCAAGCAGATCACTGTGCACAGAATACTATAACGGCGTTAGCCAATGGGGTGTGTGTGTGCGCACAGTGACATCATAACAGTAAGAGAGCGTACGTACCTTTAGGGTTTACCTTTATATTTATAGAGATTACCTGTAGGTAGTGTGGATGAGCCTTTGGTTCCTACGGTGAGGGTCCAGGCCTGATACCTATGATGTCACATCAGGATTAGTATCCTTGATGGATATCTATCATTTATTAGCATCAATCCATATCTTGGATTGCCCCTTGTTGGACTTACTACTTAATGAGCCCATTATGCGGGTCCATAACACCTACAAACATATATCTTCACAACACAAATTACTAAAAAATAATATTCTATTTTTCATTAATCATTTAAAAAGAATATATTAAATACTTTGTAGACTTTTAAAAAAATAAAATCGTTTGTATTTTTTCAAATTTAACTTATTTATCTTTATATCAGCAATATATGTTAACAAAAGTTAAAAGAAAATTCAAAATATGTTAAAGATTTTTCTTAATACATTAACTTTATAAAAGTAAATAATGTCAAATGAAAATTAAAGTAAGAATACATGAATATTTAATATTTAATTTTAAGAAATCTAAAAATATTTTAAAACTATTAAATATTATTTATTGAATTAATATATTTTGATTGACAAAAAGTATTTTTTAAAATAAACATATATTAATAAAAAACTCCTTTAAAGTGAATTTATTTTTTATGTATATAAATAGTGATATATCTATTAATGTATTTAATAAGATAAGATCATATATTTTTAATAAAATTAAAGGTATATACATTTTATAATACACTTTTTAAACAACGTTATCTTATTATTTATTTTTGGTGGGCACGTTATCTTATTATTAACTACGGTATATGTCTTTCACTCTCTTACTATTATTTTATTTCATTTCCAGTTCATTAAAATAGAAAAAAAAAACTTAGAGATTCGAATCACTTTAATATAAATTGGGGTGTGCTCTATAATTGAACTGTGCATGCTTTATCGGACCTGAATAGTAAATAATGTTAGGGAAATGCTACTCTCATTTTACATGAGAGTAGCTCTCTCATGTTACAGAGATAAATCATGTGGAATCCATCATTAAAAGATAAAAAAGAAAAAAGAAAAAAATTGGATGAGATTTTCGATGTGAGACAACATGAGATAACTACCTCATGTAAAATGAGAGTAGTATTTCCCATAATTTCACAAAAGCGTACTGGTTTTGAAATTGATTCTACTTTATGGAAGACATAAACAACATGATTTTATATAGGGGTTTATAAACTGTTATTACATCAAAATTTTTTTTGCAGCTGAGACAATAAAGATGTGGGGATTATAATTTTGTTTTTTTCTCTTTTCTTATCTTACTTTCTCTTTTTTTTTTTATTATCTCAGTTGCAAAA